ATTTTCATATCTAAGGTTTTCTTTCAAAAATAAATATTAAAAATTTAGAGAAAAGGTCTATTTAATCAAACCATTTACACACAAACACACACATATATATATTATAGAATAATTCAAGTAGTAATAGTAATAATCATAATAATATTGATAAAATTGATAAAATTATTGGATATGATTCAATTGGTGGATTGGATAAAGAAATCAAGATTATTAAAGAAATTATCGAAAATGCATTCAACAATTATAATTTATTTAAAGAATTTGGTAAAATAATTTAATTGGTAATATTAGAATTGGAGTTTAGAGGGGAAAAAAAGATTATAAATCATTTACAAAACTTTAAAATTTTAGGATTAAATCCACCAAAAGGAATACTTTTATATGGACCATCTGGTACTGGCAAAACATTGATATTTAATGCAGTGGCATCAGAAACAAATTCATACAAAATTTTCATAAATGGTCCTGAGGTTATTAGCAAATATTATGGTGAAACAGAATCAAAGGTGGACGAATTTAATTTAATTTAAATTTTGGGGAAACAATCTGGGAATTATTAATATAATTTTAAATATAATTGTTTATTTAATTATTAATTTATCTACTTTCAAGTTGAAGAGTATTTTTGAAAAGGCATTGGAGATTAATCCTCATAATTCAAGATTACTTGGCACATATTTAAAATGTTGTGAAAAGAATTGGGAGTGAGTTTTTTGCTCGTTCAAGTTATTTTTTTGTATATCAATTGATCATTTTATTTTACATACTTAATTATCCACTTAATTAATTTTACCTAGTGTACCTAAATTGCTCACTAAATGGGATCAAGTACTTAAAGATAATTCTACAAATATTTCTCTTTGGATACAATATCTTGATTTTCGTCAAACAAATCTTGTTTCTTTTACAGTTAGTCAATGCTTGCAAGTTTTTGAAGATTGTTTACATGTTTTAAGAAAAGCTGTTTTAGTTACCTTGGATAGATCTGGTATTATTATTTTTTAAACTAATTAATTCATTAAAGGCAAAATTTGAAAAGAAAGTGATTCATATATTAATTATTTTTGTATATAGATCATTCTTTAATTTTTGAATATTATTACTAAAAAATGGAAAAGAATTACTCGTTGAAAGTTATGCCTTCAATTCTTATTCGTGTTACAACAAATTGTAATTTCAATAAAACATAAACAAGAAGCCACCATTTGGTTTTTGGAAATAATATTTCATTGGGTTGGTGAGGCATGGACATTGGAAACAAGGTCAATCCACATTTCAAATGTATAATTCCTTAGTAAATAATATAATTCTTTACTAATAAGCTTTGTTTCTAAAATTGGAATAGCTGATGGTAAATTATTGGAGGAGTT